GTGCTGAGGAATCGAACCCAGGGTCTCAGGCATGCAAGGCAAGCGCTCTACCACTGAGCCAACTTCCCAGCCCTGAATGTGTTTTTTTCTCTATTTTTTTTGTCGGTCGTGGGGCCTGAACGCTGTCCCTGAGCTCTTCAGCTCAATGCTAGTGCTCTACCACTTGAGCCACAGCACCACTTCTGGTTTTCTGAGTGGTTTATTGGAGATAAAAGTCACAGACTTGGGGCTGGGAAGGTGGCTCAGTGGTAGAGTGCTTACCTTGCATGCCTGAGGCCCTGGGTTTGATTCCTCAGCACCACATAAGCAAAAAGAAAAAAACCAGAAGTGGCGCTGTGGCTCAAGTGGTAGAGTGCTAGCCTTGAGCTGAAGAGCTGAGGCACTGCGTCCAGGCCCAGAATTCAGGCCCCATGACCGGACCCCCCAAAAAAAGAGTCACAGACTTTTCCTGCCCGGGCTGGCTTTGAACCTTTATCCTCAGATCTCAGCCTCCTGAGTAGCTAGGATGACAGGCGTGAGCCACCAACACCCGGCTTAATTTTTCAATACATTTCAAACCATCCTCCATCCAATGAGGAGAAAGATCTTGGGACTCTTCACCTAAACTAGAAAAGGTTATTAGGCTCATTTCCATTCTCTGTTTTTCTAGAAAATGTGGACACAGACTTCCAGGGCAACCTGGGGCAAAGCGAAGAGAAGCCGGTGCCCGCTGCCCCTGTGCCCAGTCCTGTGGCCCCGGCCCCCGTGCCATCCAGGAGAAATCCTCCCGGGGGCAAGTCCAGCCTGGTCCTGGGTTAACTCCAGCTGTCCTGAACTCTGTCGTTTTATTTGTCTGTTTCTACGTGCTCGTGAACTGCACAACTTGAGCCTGACTGTACATCTTTTGGATTTGTTTCATTAAAAAAGAAGCACTTTATGTACTGCTGTCTTTTTTTCCCTCCCCCTTTCACTCTCTCTCTCTCTCTCTCTCTTCTTTTTGAAGAACAAGTTTCTATTTCTCTGACTCCTTTGGGTCTGGGCTGTGGCATGGGTGTTTTCTAGTAGTAGATTGGAGGGAAAGCTTTGTGGCACTTAGTACTGTGTTTTTAAGAACAAATGATCGGGTTCCTGATGTGTTTGCTAGAGGCTCTTTTGTACTGAGTTTTGTCCTTTTTTTTTTTTTTTTAATGCTCTGTGTTCGCTTTACCATGATGGGACAGACCACAGGCAGCACCTGGCAGCTCTACCACACCTGGCTGTCTTTACACAGAGCTTCTCCTCCGTGTTGTCCTTTGCTAAACACATCTTCTGGTTCCCTGTGGACCAACAGAGGCCCACCCCTGTCACCTTGCTGCCGCATGCCTAGATGACTGGCTGGCCAGTGGGCGCTTCTGCTTCTGTGATGCCCAGGTCAGCTTCTGGTGTGGGGCCAACGCTGCCTGGAAAGGCCCAGTGGTTGAGGCAGTGGAGGGAGGCAGTGATGCCGGAGAGGTGGAGGTCCCCATGCAGGGGCGGGGCCGGGGCTGTGTGTGTTCTTATTAAGTAGCTTGACGCTGTGTGCATGATGCTGGTGCTCGACCATGAGAGGAAGTCTCATCCTTAAATGTGTTGTACTGCTCAATCCTGGACTGTTGCTTCAAGTAAACAATATCCACGTTTGCAACCGCTGTGTCTGTGTCTTCTTTCTGACACTGGGTCTGCTGCCTCCGAACAATCCTGCAAGCTGATTTGGTGAGGCATTTGGTGATTTGGTGAAGATGCAGAGGAAGGAAGGGTGTTCTCCGAAAAAATACATAGCTGGGCACCAGTGGCTCATGCCTATAATCCTAGCTACTCAAGAAACAGATCTGAGGATCAAGGTTCAAAGCCACCTCGGGCAGAAAAGTCCATGAGACTTCTATTTCCAATAAACCACCAGAAAATTAGAAGTGGTGCTGTGGCTCAAGTGGTAGAGCACTAGCCTTGAGCTGAAGAACTGAGGGACAGCGCTCAGGCCCAGAGTTCAGGCCCCACGACCGACAACAACAAAAAATACCTGAGCCATTTCTACTGCCTACCTTCCCTTTGTGCATGTCAAAGCATGTCAAAGTGGCTGTGGCAGGGCCTGGAGGCAGTGGGTCCCCAGGGAGGCCTGGTTTCCATCCCCAGCACCCATGGTAAATAAAGCTTTGAGCCTCCATTCTAGTGAAGCTCTTTTCTATGGCCTGTGATCAAAGGAGAAGGCTTCAAAGAAGCATCCAGAAGACAGGAGAAGAGCTTTTGGTTTCTACAGCTGCAGTTCTACAGCTTTGGCAAGACTGGTACTTAGCTTTGTACTCGCTGATCTGCCATGTAAGCTACAATTCATTTGAATATCCAAATTAGGCCCCTTTCTTCTTAGTTCCTTCTTTCATTTCTTCCTTTCTTCATTTTTCTTTTTCCTTTCTTCTTTTTTTTTTATCTTTTTTTTTTTTTGCCAGACCTGGACCTTGAACTTGGGCCTAGGCACTGTCCCTGAGCTTCTTTTGCTCAAGGCTGGCACTACCACTTGAGCCACAGTGCCACTTCTGTCTTTTTCTGTTATGTAGTACTGAGGAATGGAACCCAGGGCTTCATGCATGTGAGACAAGTCCTCTACCACTAAACCACATCCCCAGCCCTCCCTTCCTTCTTCCTCCCTCCCTCCCTTAGTTCTGTAACAAGAAGTTTGAACTTAGGATCTTGCACTCCATAGGCAGGTGCTCTACCATTTGAGCTCCTTTCCCCTCTCCCTCCCTCCCCTCCCCTTTTATTTTGCTGGTTGTGGGGCTTGAACTCTGGGCCCAGGCGCTGTCTCTCAGCTCTTCAGCTCAAGGCTGGCACTCTACCACTTGAGCCACGACGCCACTTCCAGTTTTCTGGTGATTTATTGGAGATGTGAGTCTCAAGGACTTTCTCCCCATCCAGGGGGACTTGAACTGCGATCCTGAGATCTCAGCCTCCTAAGTAGCTAGGATTACAGGCATGAGCCACTGGTGCCCCGTGTAGATGGTTGAATGTTAGGTTTTTTTCTCCCTTTATTATGGTAATAAAGCATTTTGCAAAAGGTTGAATCAACAGCTATATCATGATTGTTCCCATATTTCTGAAGCAGGTCAGCTTTATAAATAGCAACACTGGTTTTACTGGCTTACGATGATTTCTATTATGAATCTCAAAGGGAGGGAACCTGCACCCTTAGCCTATGAGTGAATAAGGGTGGAGTTCCTGGAAATATCCTGGTTTGTGTCATAACTTGATAAGTTGGCTTTACTCTCTGAAGGTAAGTGCCTACTCAGAATTGAGGTCTGATATTGTCAAAGAAGGTTTTAGGAAATGAAATGTTTGCAAGACCGTGTTCAAGAAAATTTCAGGTCTGGAATGTGAAATCACATGATCTTAAAATGGATAATATTAAATATAAACTAAATTATAATGGATATTAAAAGTTATCCTTGTAAATTACAATGGATATTAAAAGTTATCCAGGTTGGTGCTGGTGGCTCACACTCACACTTGTAATCTTAGGAGGCTGAGATCTGAGGATCACAGTACAAAGCTGGCCCAGGCAGGAAAGTCCATGAGACTTTCATCTTCAATTAACCACCAAAATGCCAGAAGTGGTGCTGTGGCTCAAGTGGCAGAGTGCTGGCCTTGAGCACAAGAAGCTCAGGGACAGCGCCCAGGACTGGCAAAAAAAAAAAGTTCCCTAAAGGGGCAGCAGAAACATTCTTGGCAGCCAGACCTCTTAGCGAAGTTTGTGCGGCATCAGGACAAGCCCAGGGACCTAAGGCTCTGCCAGTGCTGCCTCCTCCCCAGTCTAAACTGACTCACCCTAGAATGATCAGTGCCCTCCTCCCCCACGTCTTTGAACCTAGGGCTTCCAGCGTGCTCAGTTTGCCTGCTCCCCTCTGGCTTGCCTGCTCCCCCCTGGCCTGCCTGCCCCCCCTGGCCTACCTGCCCCCCCTGGCCTGCCTGCCCCCCCCTGGCCTGCCTGCCCCCCCCTGGCCTGCCTGCCCCCCCCTGGCCTGCCTGCCCCCCTCTGGCCTGCCTGCCCCCCTCTGGCCTGCCTGCCCCCCTCTGGCCTGCCTGCCCCCCTCTGGCCTGCCTGCTCCCCTCTGGCTTGCCTGCTCCCCTCTCTCCTGCCTGCTCCCCTCTCTCCTGCTCCCCTCTGGCCTGCCTGCTCCCCTCACTGCTCCCCTCACTGCTCTCCTGCTCTCTGGCAGTCTGACGCTTGAGCCACAGGCTGCCCCTTCTGCTGCTCCTGCCGCCGTGGTTTGGACACAGAGGGCCCTCAGCTGAGCTGGAGCAGCCAGAGAGGCTCCTACTCCGATCAGTGTAGTTTGTGAGGTAAATAGATGTGGGTGTGAGATTTACAGAGGATTCCACAAACGTTAGCGAAGCTCAACGCTTTCCACGGGGAATGCAAAGTTCTGACCGAGCAGGGATGCGGTGCGCGGGGAGGGGGGCGGGAAGGGGGAAGGGGGGGCGGGCCGAGCGCTGGTTACCGGAGCCAGGTGGAAATCAGGCTCCGAGTTTGAAGAGGAAACCCCTGCCTCAAGCTAACTGGTTCATGCGTTGGCCCTACGACGCCGTCGGGAACCTAAGCCCAGCTGAGTCCATTCACTCACTCGCGTTAATCCGCAGCCCCCAGACTTGGGCCTGGGCTGGTGCTGTCTGCAGACAGCTCTGGTTCGGGGTCCCCGGCCGGGAGCGGGCGCCCCACGCTGCTCCCGGTCGTTCAGATAGCCTAAGGTAACACCTAGGTGAAGGTCGCACTTTGAGGTACAAAGCAGAATACCAGGAGAGCGAGGGCCGCCAACCCCCGCCCCAGGAAGTCCGCCCGCCCACTCGCTCTCGCGCTCTCCCGCCCGCGAGCCGCCGGGTCCCCGGGTCCGAGCGTCCGGAGCCCTATGCAAATTACCCAAGTCGAGCTCTATGCAAATCACCGGCCAGGCCCCGCCCACCGCTCTCGGTCCCGGAAGCGGCCGTCTGGGCGCGCCGAGCTCGGCCCTGGCGCCGCGGGGCCCGCTTCCGCCCTGCGCGCTGCCGGGGTCCCCGGCGACGATGGCGGCGCGGCCCGTGCGCGTGTTGGTGGACATGGACGGCGTGCTGGCCGACTTCGAGGCCGGCCTCCTGCGGGGCTTCCGGCGCCGCTTTCCCGGAGAGCCGCACGTGCCGCTGGCGCAGCGCCGCGGCTTCCTGGCCCGCGAGAGCCCTGCGGCCGGACCTGGCGGTAGGAGGCGGCGGGGGTCGGGGGTCGGGGGTGGGGGGGGGCGGTCCGGGCTGCGTTCCGGGGACGCCACCTCCGAGTCCACAGTTCACCCCTGGTCCAGAGAGGTCGGGGCCCCCGCCCCTCCGCCGGCGGGCGCCCGAGCCCCGGGCTTGTGTCTCGTAGGACAAGGTGGCCAGTGTGTACGAAGCGCCAGGCTTCTTCCTGGACTTGGAGCCCATCCCCGGAGCCGTGGAGGCCCTGCGGGAGATGAACCGCATGCCCGGGTGAGCAGGGCGGGGACCCAGGGGCGGAGGGGGCCGGGGGAGGCTCCGCCCGGGCTGACCGCTCCCCTTCCTCCTTCCGCAGCACCGAGGTCTTCATCTGCACCAGCCCCCTGCTCAAGTATGACCACTGTGTGGGCGAGAAGGTGCGGCGCCTGCGCAAGCCGAGGCTTCCCAAACCCGGGTGTAACAGTGATCACAGACACAAAGCAGGGGCCGGGGGAAAGGGGAGCAGTGACGTCCACACCCACCACTGACGGCCCCAGACTTAGGGTCCCTCAGACCCCACTGGCAAACCTGTCTCCTCCACAGTACCGCTGGGTGGAGCAGAACTTGGGGCCCGAGTTTGTGCAGCGCATTATCCTGACGAGGGACAAGACGGTAGTCAGGGGGGACCTGCTCATCGATGACAAGGACAACATTCAAGGTTGGTCCCTTTTTCCCCGGCAACCTCCGGGCATCTGGCCTGCCCGGATTAGAGAGAGGGCGTAAGAATAATCAAGATTACAGATGACATGCTTGCTGCCTTTTCTGTCCCAGGTTTAGAGGAGACCCCGAGCTGGGAGCACATCTTGTTCACCTGCTGCCACAACCAGCACCTGGCCCTGCCCCCCTCCAGGAGGCGGCTGCACTCCTGGAGTGACAACTGGAGGGGAATCATAGACAGCAAGCGCGCACCTGTTCAGCAGGACTGAGCAGGACCTGGCTGGGAAATAGACACCAGAGTGTCTGCTTGCACAAGCCCTATCATGAAGCAGCTTCCAAGATGGCAGGCTGAATGAACAATCATGCCTGGCATGGAAATACAGTAGGGAAATCAGGATGCTTTTAATTACAAAACCAAAAAACCATAACCTCTGGCTGTTTATTCGGTAAAGGGAAGCCATAGGAGCCCAGGGTGGAGCTGAGCAGGTGACCTCGTCTCAGCCCCACACACTGGACATATACGTCAGATGTGTGGTCCTTGTGTCTGGAGCATCATCCCAACTTGCACCCCCCAAGTTCCAGAGGGCCCTTCCAGGGGTTGGCCTCCCCTCATCAACCATGACAGCAGAAAAGGGCCAGCTTCAAGGGTCTTTATTTGATGCCAGTACCGGGGCATGAAATCAGGGCCTTGGTGCTGTTCCTTAGCCTTTTTTTTGCTCAAGGGTATGGCTCTACCACTTGAGCCTCAGCTCCACTTCTGGCTTTTTGGTGGTTAATTGGAGGTAAGCATCTCACAACATTTCTACCCAGGCTGGCTTTGAACATGATCTTCAGATCTCAGCCTTCTGAGTAGATAGGATTACACAGTGCCCAGCTTCTGGCAATCTTTATTTAAAGTATTTTGGATTTTGGGGGCTGGGGGTTTAGCCCAGCGGAAGGGCGCCTGCCTAGCGCGCGCAAAGCCGTGGGTTCGGTTCTCAGCCCTGGTTTAAAAAAAAGACACATAAAGTATTTTGGATTTTGTAGTCTGGGCTAGCCTTTAACCTGTGATCTTGTTGCCTCTTATGAGCCTTTCTGGGATTACAGTTGTGTGTCACCACGCCAAGCTTTGCTGCCTGCTGGTCATATTAGCAGTCATTGGGCTGCATCAACAAGGGCAGGGAGCACATCTCCATCTTTGTATTCCTCACAGGATACACAGCAGGCTGGAGGGTTGTGTAGACAGCTACTCCTGAGCTGTAGTTACATGGGTCAGTGTCTGCCATGCTCAAATGCCCAGCTTGGAGATGAGTGGTGGTATGGTCTTGTACGGCCCTGGAGGGGCGTGGCATCTCCCTAGCTTTCCTCTAATGCCATGGTCCCAACCACTGCTCACAGTCCACCCTGCATGCCTGGAGCCTGCACATCCTACGGGGGTGCGAGCCTGGCAGTGGGGGCACCAGAGGTAGGTCCTTCATTTCCAGTGTGTTGAGTGCCAGCCCCCCCCCCCCATGAGCGGCACTAGCTTTTGGTCCCTTCTCCATGTATGTATCTCGGTCTAGTTTTACCCGGGTGAGACCCGTGCTGAGAAACCTCACCCTGAAGACAGTACTGCTGCTGCAGGGACTTCCTCAGCTGTCTGCCCCTGAGCCCTTCAAGAGGGTGGTCTCTGGTAGCAGGGATGCTAGAGCCGCGGGGGTCTCCCTGGATCAGGGTTGCTGGGGGGTCTCATTCCTTGGCAGTGGGATACCCAGAGCAGAGTGCGCCTGCCAGCTTTGGGCTTCAGCCACCTGGCCTGGGGAACAGAAGTCCTGCAGGAAGATCTGGGCCAGGTTCTGGAGCCTTGTGCTGGCCGAGAGAGAGAAGCGCAGCATGCACTGGATGACTGGCATGGAGGTGAGCTCGGGGTGAGAGCCAGGGCGTGGTGAGCTCAGGTACATGAGCGTGGTCACAGCGGACAGCACCGTCTCCTCGTTGGGGCTGGACAGGCAGTTGATGATGAGTGGGACGCCCCCTGCCTGCAGGATGTATTCCTTGTTGGTCCTGTCTGAGCACAGGTTGCAGAGGCCTCCTGGGGAAAAGCAGTGTGGAGCCTGGGTGCCAAGGCCTGGCTTCCTCCCTCCTCCTCCCCTGTTCCTCTGCCCAGTGAGCTGTGAGGAGGCACTGGGCTGCTGGCCCAGGGATAAGGGATGAGAAGACTCCAGGCCCCAGCTCTCTCCCAAGTTTCCACAAACACTAGCCTGCCACCATCACCTCGCTTGTCACAGTGGGCACAAGCGTCTCTTCTTGGTTCAGAACTTTAAGGGCTGGTACGCTTTCCTTTTTCTTTTATTCATTGCCCACTATTAAGATCTGAAGTCAGGGCCTCACACCTTCTCAGCTTGCTTGTTCTCAGCTTGTTCTCGGGATCTCGAGCCACACTTCTTGTCAAGCTCTTCTCTGGTTATTTTGAAAATGGAGTCTCATGGGCTTTTCTATCTGGACTGGCCTCAAATTAAGATCCTCTAGGTCTCCGCTTCCTGATTAGCTACTAGAATAAGCCACTAGCACTAGGCTATTATCACTTGGTTTTTGTTTTTGTTGTCAGTTGTGGGGCTTGAACTCTGGGCCTGGGTGCTGTCCCTGCACTCGCTCTACTGCTTGAGTCATAGTGCCACTTCCAGTTTTCTGATGGCTCATTGGAGATAAGAGTCTCACGGACTTTCCTGCCTGGGCTGGCTTTGAACTACGATCCTCAGATCTCAGCCTCCTGAGTAGTTAGGATGACAGGCGTGAGCCTCCAGCACCTGGCTAACACTTGTTTCTTTATCCCACAATTTAAAACATATGTAAGTACAGATATTAAAATAAGGTACCCTCATCGGTGTTTTCAAAGCCAGCTTTTTTTTTTTTAAAGCCAGCTCTTCTTATTTAACAATGTAATGCAGATGTTCTGCTGGCAACAGTTTGTGGGCATGAGGTGAGAGCATTATACTGTCATTTTCACATCACTGTCTAGGATTCTAGGGAAAGCAGAAAAGACCTGAGTGTCAGATCAGACCCCTTTCCCACTCCCCAGTCTCCTCAGGGCCCCTCAAGTTTGTGACTTCTTGGCCTTGGGGACAGATACTTCTACTTAGGGGACCCTTTCCTTAGCATTGGCTCATAAGTGCAAGCAGACAACTTCCTGTGCACACTGACTCAGTTTCCTGCCATCTTACCTCTATCCTTTGGTTCCTGCTTCAAGGGGAAGGAAACTACATCTTGGCTCATTTGTATTACATGCCTGAGCAGCCAGTCAAAGGTGAGGGTCATGCCTACTTCCCCTGCTTCTCTGGAAATTACCAAGCAGGTGGCCCTAAGATCTAACTAAGAAGCTGTGGCTGCCGGGCGCTAGGCTCATGCCTGTAATCTTAGCTACTTAGGAGGCTGAGATCTGAGGACTGTGGTTCAAAGCCAGCCCAGGCAGGAAAGTCTGTGAGACTCTTATCTCCAGTGAACCAACAGAAAACCGGAAGTGGCACTGTGGCTCAAGTGGTCAAGCACTTGACTTGAGCTGAAGAGCTGAGGGACAGTGCCCAGGCCCAGAGATCAAGCCCCAAGAAATTCTTATCTCTTAATTAACTAACAAAAAACCAGAAATGAAAGTTGGCAAGTGGCAGAGTGCCAACTTTTTTTTCTGGTCAGATGTGGGTCTTGTACTCAGGGCCTGAGCTTTTTCACTCAGGGCTAGCACTTTACCACTTTAAACCACTTCCAGTTTTCTGGTGGCTAATTGGAGATAAGAGTCGCTTGAACTTTCTTGCCCAGGCTGGCTTGGAACCATGATCCTCAAATCTCAGCCTCCTGAATACCTAAGATTAAAGGCGTGAGTCACTGGTACCCAGCTCAGAGTACCAGCTTTGAGCAAAAATGCCAAGCAACAGTGTGAGGCCCAGGTCACAATACTGGCACGAGTGCACACATACATTCTCAACGAAGACACCTTCCCCTGGCGCGCAGGCAGGGACGGTTTGGTTCTACAGCTGGCTCCTGCTTTAGGGGACTGGCTTTTAGTCATCCATTTGTTCTCATGCCTCTGCACCCTTGGCTCAGGTCCCTCCCCCTCCCCCTGACCCTTCCCCAGCTTTCTTGCTGGTGACAGGCAGCTCTGCTGGGTGAGCCTGGGCCACTCTGGTCAGCCTGCTGGATGCCTCCCCCCATGCCTGGATGGACCCTCATCATTGGCTTTTTTTTTTTTTTTTTTGGTCCGGTCGTGGGGCCTGAACTCTGGGCCTGGGCGCTGTCCCTCAGCTCTTCAGCTCAAAGCCAACGCTCTACCACTTGAGCCACAGCGCCACTGCCGGCTCTTTTCTTTTTGCTTATGTGGTGCTGAGGAATCGAACCCAGGGCCTCATGCATGCAAGGCTACCACTGAACCACCTTCCCAGCCAACTTCAGATTTTTTTGGTGGTTAACTGGAGGTAACAGTCTTATGGACTTTCCTGCCTGGGCTAGCTTTGAACCAAAATCCTCAGATCTGAGCCTCTTGAGTAGCTAGGACTGCAGGTGTGAGCCACCGGTGCCTGGTGTGCTGGAAGTAGTTTGAAGGAGAGGACTTGCAGAACTGCAGAGGGAGGATGGGATGCATGGCATAGTCATGCGTGGCGGCAGCAGAGCTCCACCTCCCTAGCCACACTGCCTCAGCACTCACTCCGGCACTCCGGTGCTGCTGGCCGGCTCACACTGTGCCTGGCATCGTGGTACTCAGTGAACACAGGAGCAAGTGCTACCTTCAATTTGCTCTAGTGGGAGAAACTAAATTCCCCAGTGAGGGAACTCTGCCTCCAGTAGGAGCAATGGTGTTCCTGTGGAAGCCACAGCCAACTACTGCCAGGCTTAGCTTGATGCCAGGACAAGTAGAAACACTGGCAGCCTCTGGCTCTCAGACACGCCCACGCCACCCCTGAACCGGGCGCCTCCTCTTCACTGGGGACTGGGGCTGGGCAGGTGGTTTATCTCTGCTGTAGAGTGAGTCGCAGCACACTCAGGTGTCTGGGCAGGGCAATTAGGGGATAATCAGATGGCATCAGCTGGCGGGTGGGGACAGAAGCCGCAGGCCAGGGGCCTGGAAGCCTTCCAAGGATGGATCAGGTGCTTGCCAGAGATGACCGGCTGCTCGGGCCCAACATAGTACACCATTTTTTATTTATTTATTTTTTGGTGGGGGTAATGGGCTTGAACTCATGGATTGGATGCTGTCCCTTAGCTTTTTCACTCAAATTTTTGCTGGCCTTAGAGATAAATGCAAACTGTCACAATCAGATCTCAGCCTCCTGAGTAGCTAGGATTGCAGGTGTCTGCCACTGGCACCAGCTACCTTTAGAGTCCTGTGCCTACCTGGCTGTATCCCTTGGCTATGGAAACGGGACTGAGGACCAGGAGAGAACATGAGGGGCAAGAAGGTCTGCTGGCACAAGATGGCACCCAA